TGGTAGCTGCCGCTTCCCCCGGCCTCTGCAGCGGGGTCGGGGCGTACCGAAGGTTGTGCTGTGGTGCAGGCTTGCTCACCCATGAGCCTGGACTGTAATGTCTCTCACTCATCTACATGTGCCGTCACCCTGCAGTAATGCAGCTGTGCTGATGGATCTGTACTGTTTTTCTCCCTTGCACCAGACCTCACATGCTCTTGGATGATGCCCTCTCGCTGCTTGTGATCCCTTTTGCCTTAATCCCCAGAGGATTTGTTTTTATTTGGTGGTACTCTGAGATAGGTGTAAATTTCTCCTTTTACTCCTGACTCTGAACCCTTCACAGCTGAAGTTTTGCCTCTCAGTTAGAAAAGTGCCCAAAAAGGACAGGGAAAAGGCCTGCATGAACACATCCCTTTGGGCTACTGGGAGAGAGAAAGGGGAGTAGCTTCTCTGGAGCAGTTTGTGCACCTCTGCATCCTCTTGCCAGTGGTAGGCTCCTCTGACCTTGTGTTTCTGCTTTTCTTTCTCTCCTCAAGAAAGAGAAATCCAAATCAAGTAGCAGCACTGCCCGAGAACCCAATGGCTTCCCAGCTGACACCTCTGCCAACTCCTCTCTCCTCCTGGAGTTCCAAGGTGAGTCTGTCTGAGCCCCCTTCAAGATGGGGAAAGACTCTAAGGCCTTACAGAAGCTGGGATGTTGCTGGCTTATGTATCCTATGTGTATTGGGAAGAGCAGCGCATGTCTTCAGTGCAGGGTTATACTGATCCACTTCTGGACTGTCCCTGCTGAAACCATTCATTTTTGCTGTCAGAAAGAATTGGCTGTTTCCAGGATCTTTCTGCGGGAAGCTTCATGGGGAACTGGAGGAGTGGGGGTTCCCATTCCCACTTTGCAGTCCCTGCTGGGAAGAGGCCAGTAGCTGCCTGCAGCTGAACCCACTACTTCCAGCAGTGACGTGCATGGATCTTAGGATGAAAGGGCAGAGGATCTCCAGGATCAAGAGATCCTGGAGTACTGCAGGCAGCCGCGAGCAGGCCAGGCTCTGTGGTAGAGCCAAGCAAGGCTCAGGCAATGGATGGACTCGCGTATGCCTGTCCCCAGCCTCTGCGCTTGGCTCTCGGTGCAGCCAAGGAAAATTGAGGAATGTGTTGGCACTTCCAGTAGATGTGGCAAGAAGTTTAGCGTGGCAGGTCTGCAGTTTGGGACAGCTTTACCTGGAAAAGGTGTGTACCAGGATTGCCTCCTCATCTGGAGGCAGGCGCTGAGCGTTGCTCCTGGTGTTAGATTGCTGCCCCTCAAACAGAAAGGCACAAAACCCTGGTACATAGGCAAGAGGTCTCCTGCCCTCAAATGCCTGGGGCCCTCGCAAGCTGCTGACATGAGATTTGGCAGCACAGAGCTTTGTATCACCCCTGTGTCTTCTGCTTATTCTTTCTGAATAGCCCAGGGTCACTCTCTGTCTGCTCAGACTCATTCCCTGGGCAGAAGCACCCCCTCTCCCCTGGGCCAGTTGTGTATCTGATGCATCCTGGCGGAGAGTCCTGTGTGCGGCAGCCCTTATGATGTGTGACAGTGAATCCCCTGTACTCTAACTGCACTCTGCCTTCTCCCTAAGACCCTGGCTCTCGGTGCTGTCCTCTGCTGCCTGTGCCCCTGGGTCAAGGTGCTCTTCTTCACTAGGTGCTGTTTCTGCAGATGAGAACAGCAACCAGAGCTCCCTGTCAGACGTCTACCAGCTCAAGGTGGACAGCAGCCCCAACTCCAGCCCCAGTCCCCAGCAGAGTGAGTCCATGAGTCCTGCCCACACGTCTGATTTCCGCACGGATGACTCGCAGCCACCCACACTGGGGCAGGAGACACTGGAAGGTGGGTGCTGGGCTGGGAAGGAGGTGGATGGCTGGGCCTGGGGAAGGCCCTGCTGGAGCCATTGTTTGTCCGGTGGGTGACTGAGGCACTGCTGGAAGTGGACAGGGAGAGTTTTGTCTTCTGCTGGAGGTCTCCTCTGCTCACTCAGCACTGACCTGAGTACTGCTGTGCTCCTGGGTTGGCAGTTTCATTAACCCTTCTGTTCTCCCCAGAGCCCTCCCTGCCTTCCTCGGAAGTTGCAGATGAGCCTCCCACTCTCACAAAGGAAGAGCCAGTCCCTCTTGAGACTCAGGTAAGGGAAGGGGGATTGAAACCACATCTAAATGCGCACAGACCCAGCTTCGCCCTTTCATCATCGTTGCTGCCTCTTGTAGCAGAAACATCTCAACAGGTGGACTTGCTCTGCAGTCCCAAAGTGCCCTCAAGGAGCTCCCCAAACCTCCTAGCTTCCCGAGCTGTCCCCTGGTTCAGTTAAGGTGTTAAAGTGTGAAAAAAGGATGTGGAGGTGGAATAAAACAACAATTCTAGCCGACTCTGGGGTTGAAGTGGATTCTCACTCCTGGTGCCATGGGGCTTCCTCACAGATGAAAGCCTGGGGTGTCCCCACAGTGTGACATGGCCTTGTCTATGTCCACGTGGCTTGGTAGGCATGCTGAGCTCCTGTTACTACTGCCCGTGACCTCTGCCTCTGGCTTTTGCAGGTAACTGAAGAGGAGGAGGACTCCGGTGCACCGCCTCTGAAGAGATTTTGTGCCGATCAGA